CCTTGACTCACATGCATTACTATTTACTCTGGAATAGATCAAACCAATATTGTGTATTTTTCAATTACTGGAAAATTAATAACATCAACAACAATAATAATGGACTTCTATAACGGTAGTATTATTAACATAGCAAGTACTTTAATTTTATTATTTGGCTAGGTGTATTTGGATGTATAAAATGGAACTTATATTGCGTCAATGCACCAACCCTAAATTAATTTCACTTTGTGATCGAATACTACTTCCTTTAAAAGTTCCAGCCAACATTTTCAAACGTGAATAAAATGACAAATAAACAACCCTAAATTAATTTCACTTTGTGATCGAATACTACTTCCTTTATATTGTGACAAATAACATTAGGTGCATCAAGACATTCCTAATTTGTTACTTCTTCATCCACCAATCATTTCATCTTCATTTCTATGATACCTATAAGATACCGTACATTTGTCCATATGGACCATTCAAAATGTTGCAGTTCAATTATTTATGGCTAAATTAAAAACGATATACATATTTGGACCAATCAAGTGAATAGTAGGTACGGTACCCCATTTTTTAAATGGGTACCGGAGTTCTCACCTCATATAAATGCCTATATATGCTAGCATAGAACAAATACTTTAACACATATATATCACAAATGTTTTAATAATTGAATTGTTAATAAATGTACCGTGACATTTACAACAACCAATACAATAAGGTGTTTATTTTAACCAATACAATAAGGTGTTTATTTTGGAGGAAACTCAACAAAATCTTGGGTTGATCAAATTATGTTAAAATACAAGTGAAACAAGCTAAGACACATAATATAACACTGCCTTGAATTATTTATGTGCTCATATATTATTGTTGATGTGGAAGCTCATAGACTCATAGTAGCATGCATCTATATGACTATATATCTCACTAGAAAGTAATGAAATATAAGATGATGAAATTGGAATTAATGAAAATGGTGATGGTAAATGTGAGAGTAATATAATAGACTAATGATGAATGTGATGTACAAATAGGAGGAAAGAAACCAAAAAGAAAAGAGAGAAATGGAGGAATGAAAAATGGGTAAAATGATTAAATTTTGAAGTTTTAATGGTGTCTAAAAAATATGACTTCTATTCACCAAATTTTTTGCTTTTAATAGAACTTAATTAAAATAATTAAGGACTACCGCTGTATCTGGTTGGAATTTTTTAAAAGATCGTCTTGGAATGGAACAAAAAGTTGGACTTCAATCAAATGTGTGCATATGCTTTCCAACGACATACATCATACTTACATACATATGCTTTCTTTCCGCTACTGACGGCTTCACTATTTTGTGAACATGTACTGTATGTTTAGATTTGTAAAAAAAACTATTAAAAATGAGTTAGGCAATTTAGACATGCAACGTGATTCACAAATCCGGCCACCCCGCGCCGATCACTTTGATTAAAATAGTAAAATTTTAACTCAGCACATGCTAAATCGTACGGATGACACAAAAATAAGGGTTTGGTAATTGATTTTACGGTATATCTTTTTTTAAAGCGAAGCAAAATCAGTTTTTCTGGTATCTCTTAACGTTTTAAAAAAATGCTTCTCAAAGAAATATAGAATAGTTAAATTATGCATTTTCACCAAAACACTTCAATATCTGTGTTGGGTTAAAGGCACAACTACAGGGTCGGCCCAGTAAAACCTTCTAAGGACGAACGTTCATGTCCCAGGGCAGTTACATCTCAGGGCCCAAGGCAGATGCGACGTAAGTCTCCGCACCTCGCCTACAACCCAAAGAAGATCTAGTCCACAGCTAGCCAACACATTCTTACCCTTTGTATGGGGTAATTTAAGTTTAATTTGCACCTCATTTTATTGTCCAAATTTGACTTTGCACCATGTTTCTGAAAACCTTTGTTTTTGCAGCCCAACCCTGTATGAAAAGACAAAAGCGCCCCTCGATCAGGAATATGTTGAAAGCCAACAGGATTGTTAATGGAGGGGCATTTTTGTCTTTCTATATGGGGTTGGGGTGCAAAAACAAAAAAATTTAAAAACAGGGTGCAAAGTCCAATTTGAATAATAAAATGGGGTGCAAACTCAAATTAGCCTTTTAATTATTATCTAAATAATTGTGTCGTTTTACCATGGGAACCTTTTCACGGACAGAAGTAGTAACATTTAAGGATCATTCAAAAATAATACGGAGTAATATTTAAGTAAAAACTTATATATACTTGTGCAATTTTACGAGTATAGTATGCTTTGAATTTATCTTTGGATTTTAAATTTTCTTTTCAACAAAACAAACGCCTTTTTAAAGATTTTGGTTTTGATATCTATTCATTACAAATCATTAAAAATAATTTTCTTTAATCATTATTACTATTTTATGTTAATACTTCTTTTATTTGTACTAGAGAGTAGAGACCTCGCCTATAGATAGTACATGAGTAAAGGGTCAGTTTGGTCTTCGAAGTTGCATAAAAGAGATCAAATAAGTCCTTATATAGGAGATTCTATCCGGCCGTCGCCATTTGGGGCGGTTCCCGGTGGAATTTTGTGATGAAATTTTTTAAGCATCTTATTCATTATGTCTAGTTCACTCATACCAAATTTCAGATAAAAATTCAATCGGGAATAGGGGTGGCAATGGGGCGGGTTTGGGGCGGGGGTACACTCCTCCATCCCCCACTCCATGTCTAAAAAGTTCTCCCCATCCCCGTCCCATCCCCCGTTACTCCCAGACCTGCCCCATCCCTGCCCCACCCCATTGTCCCCCACGGGTGCCCACGGGTGCCCCCATATAAATTTAAATTACGTATTTGCATATACTTTTTTATCTTATTATAAATATATGTAGTGTGATTCCAATGAAAACGATGCTTAACGTGGGAACACTCACAGTTAATCCAATATATTACACAATAATCCAATGTGACACACAATAGAGCCATTCTAGTTCACATTTGGACTTCGCTCAATACAAGCTAATATAAATAATCACGGTGGCACTTTTGTAAATATTGTGCTAGATACAAAAAAGTGCATTGTGCGAGCCCATTGTGCTTCACATTGGGGGTAAATGTGGTGTTCGCACGTTTTCATGTCAAACGTTATTCTCATTTGATCCTAAGCCTATATATATCTACGCGCACACAGTGATATATGACACACACACACGCAACACTGAAGTATTGTGTTTGTTAAAAGTTAATACCACCAATTTTAATAATTCTTCAATTTGAATAAGTTTTGTGAATTGAGTACAATTAAAGTAAAAATATAATTAAACATATTACCATCATGTACGTTGTTTCAAAATTCTCAACAATTATAATACAATTAATTACATATTATATTACATATAAATGTTTGTGTATTTATTTACTCACTTTCTCACTCTTAAAACTCATATACGGAGTAACATGTATGATAAATATTTTTAATCATCACTAGCTTATTATTATTCTAGTATAATATGTATTAATTCATTAACCATGATTAAACCGTATACAATTATGTATGCCTATATGTATATGTGTTTGTTATATACTACAAATAATTCAATGTGTGTACATTATTTATATATGTGTATATATATGTTTGAGTATATATTTATAACGGGGACGGGGCGGGTGTAGCAATATCCGTCCCTCGCCCCATATTTTAACGGCGTAAAAATATTTCACCCATCCCCGCCCCCACCCCGCCCCAAGCCCCGCCCCATCCTTCCCCCGCGGGGCGGTTCCCCACGGGTCCCCGCCCCCATTGCCATCCTTAATCGGGAAGACATTCAAATGAATTCTTGAAGATAACTGTGCAGTTAAAAGCGCAGTCATCTTCAAGAATTCATTTGAATGCCTTCCCGATTGAATTTTTAGCTGAAATTTGGTATGAGTAAACTAGACTTAATGAATAAGATGCTCAAAAAATGTTATCAAATAATTCTACCGGGAACCGCTTCAAATGGCACGTCCGAATAGAATCTTCTATATAAGGACTTATTTGACCCCTTTTATGCAACTTCGAGGACCAAACTGACCCTTTACTCGATAGTACAAGTCAAAAGGGTAAACTATTATTTACCATTATTACTGCGATTTTAAGTTTAGGGCCTGTTTGGTACGGTGTAAAGTAAACATTTTGTGTACAAAGTGTGGGGAAGTAAACATTTTACACCGTTTGTTTTAATTGTCTGATGTAAATTTTAGGGCAGTTTTTTTAAAACATTTTACACTGTACCATGTAACATATTTTACGTGGAGGAAGGGTGGTAAACTACTTTACAGACCTATTCTTTTCCGCTTGGAGTGTGGGCTATGTGGCGGCAAAGCAAAACGATGGGCGGCAATTTTCAACTGCGCTGGACAGAGTTGCTAAACAATGTTTTGCCTTTGATCATCCATAAACCCCATTAAATACAAGCAGAGCCCTTGGTAAAATAAAAGAAGTCATCTGGGAAACTACAACCTACGCATTTATGTTCCAAAGAAATAAAATAATGTAAATATATATTAAAAGTAACTAGCGATGTTCTACTCCAAGTCGTATTAGATGAGCACAGTTGCTTGCCTTTGAAAGACGTCAATTTCGAATTTATATGTTTTAAAAAGTTTGCGTGTAATTTAAAAATAGATTACACGCATGAGGTGTATTTCTATTTTACATGCAAACTATTTTACCGCCCTAAACTTTACATGCAATCATTTTGCATGTATATCTCAAAAGTCAAAATTACAGGAGTGTTATTGCTTGAAGTCTTGGACATTTTCTGTCCATAAAGTTTTCTTAGAAAAATGTTGTGCAAGTACTATCATGGAAAATAAGTTATTCGGTGCATATGATAACATCATGCTTAAAGTATCGTGAAGGCATTTTCATTCAGAAAAAATTGTTTAGTGTGAAATACTGAAAATTATAGCAAGAAAACTATTTTTACTGACAAGAATCTGAAAACAGAGATAAATTTGAATAAACCTTTTGCCAAATGTAAACACAGCCGATGAACAGAATTAGCTAGATAAATATATGGTGTGTATATATGTGAAAGATATTCTTGAGCAACAAAAAGCTTTAAACATTTATTCTCACATGACCATAAATAACAACTATTTTCTACAATCAATTATGCTACCAACATATACATTCCTAACAAGACCTTAAAGAACTTAACACAAAAGTTCTATAGGGACGTGTAGTGACACTAATATCTAACGTTCTTATGTGCCACACATTCAATGGCTCGTAAAAACTTATTTACATCAGCATTATGCAATGAATATGCAACACCTAAGAAATTAACCTATATGAATTTCAAGTGTCCATAGGCTTGCTCTGATCTACTCCATAAGCATGAAACTACAAGGACTTCAAAGTACAATGCACCAAGAAGTTGGGTGTCAAGGATTCAACACAAGGGTAAAATTCAAGGACTTGTGATCATCATTTAGCAGGTGAAGGTGAGGCACCACCACTAGTTGGCCTGCGAGATCATCAACAATTCACAGTTCAGTTCAACAGTTAAGACCTAAATTATCCACACATACGAAATAAATAAGGAAAACAAAGTACTCCATATATACTCACAATCCAACATAAACTTTGAATGAATCATAAATGCCCCATTGAGCTCCTGTAAGGGTTCCAATCATGAGTATACGCAGAGGGAGACCACGAGTGCAGAGACCCATCACTCCCAGCTTCTGAATGGCCTGCGCTCGTAGCAAGCAATTGACACAAGTAAGAATTTTGTGCATTTCTAAGTGTAATTTGTCAAACGGGGTAACTAATTAACTTACATCACCAACTGATGCACCCTTGGCATTGTTGAGAAAAGAGACGAGGTTATCGGCGGGATGAGAGACAACAGCACAGAGAATGCCAGCCAAATAGCCTCCCGCGAAGCTCACCCCGAGTTGCATGCTACTACTACATTGCTCTTTTGGAGTTGGGATAGCATGTTTGTACAATAGCTCCACTATGTTCTCAAATGATGAGAACTTCATCATTGTATCTGTAAGCATTCATACATCCAGATATGAGGTTAGTCATGCCGTACGTGAAATTCTCTGCACATATCAGTGAGAACTGAGAACAAAAATGAAGGTACAGTCAAAAGTGATGTATAAGACCGTCTAGTCTGTTTTTGGCATTTTCCTAAGACTTAGAAGTACTTCGCTGAAAGATCTAAACGAACAATTGTGGATATATACGGAGTTTAATATTAAGACTTGAGTTTTCATCTTTAAAAGGCTGAAATTCAACTAACTGTATATATAAGACTTTGGATTACTTGTATTGAGTTAAACCTTCTAGTAGAGACTAGAGAACCACGAGTCTTTAAATGGTACAAAATTACATTGCAACAAGTAACGTAATATGACCAAGACACAATAAGATCGTGCAGATTTCAAGGTCCCTCCAACGAAACCCTATCTTGCAGAATATGTTAAGTCATCTCAAATCAAGTAAACATAAAAACTAAAAATTTGCATATAAGGCTTTGGAGTACTCACGTTTTGACTTTGAGAGCAAAATCCAAATCTTGATATATATGAACTTAAGAGACACGTGGTAGTTAAAATCATAGTACGGAAAAAACCTTTAAACTAGCTTACATGGAATTTGTCGTCCCCATAGAGGAACAAGCCCCTTGTAAAGCCTGAACAGACAAAGAATACACACCACGCCATTCATCATTAGCTTTTAGATGAAGAGCAAAAACCACAAGTAGTTAGGTGTGCAGGTTATGGTGATGAAATTAATAAGCCTATAGGAATGTGTAAAGATGACAACAACAACAACAACAACAACAACAACAACAACAACATGGACTTACCCGGCAACACCCTCGGCTTTGACGAATTTAGGAAGTCCATCTGACAAACCTCTGGCAAAACCTGGTTGGGTTTGGACTCGAACTTTGACAGCCTCAAATGGGCAAAGGGCAACATCAGCTATGACCTCAGCAGATGCAGAACCAGCAAGGTAGATCATGGTTTTGTACTTAGCAGCATTTTCCTTTCCAGCAAGGTCTGAATAGTACTTCTTGAAGAATTCATAGAACCCATACTTGCAAGCTCCTTGGGCACTATATCCCAACATGGTTGGTCCCCAACCCCTAAAGAACCCTTTTACTCCCTGTTCCTTAAGGAGCACCCCAAAACCAGAGGTAACGCTTCTGTACTTTCCAGGGTTTATCTGAAACAATAAAATTAATAATGGTTTGTTAAGGTAAAAAGGAAATCAATCAAATTCATGAGCAGAAGACATGTTAACTATACAAGAATTAAGTTCTGATATAGAACATATATTCAGTTTCAAAGTCCATTCTAGTATGAAAATACAGAGTATAGAACAACAAAGTTGTAGTTTTTTTTAAAAAAAGTACCATATGACCAAATTTGTAAATTCAAATTTGGAATTGAAAAAAAAAAAGTTGTAGTTAAATAGTGCCATATGACCAAATTTGTAAATTCAAAAATCAGGTATTATATTGAAACATTTTTAATACAAACAAGGAAAACAGTAACAAGATATATTGTTACTATGCAACAAATAGCTATAGCAGCATTACTAATAGCAAGCACACCTTCAACTAGGGGCATAGCTACGGGTACATACTCGGTTAGGTAGATATAAAGATTTTTTTATAAATCTTACACGAAATTTTATAAGTAGTACATTAATAATCAAAGTGTTTTTAAATTTAGGGTAGCCCGAGCCAAAATTTATGGACCGACAAAATTTTGGACATTTAGACTTTCCTACGACAGTCAAAATGTTATCAAATCTAGTATCAGACAATCTTGGAGGCGAACGAAAAAGTAAAATGGGACAATCAAATATTTATATGTAGTTTGTATTTTATGGAAGCCAATCTTCTACCGCAGAGTGCCGGACGGCCTAAAAATCCGTATTTTATACACATATCTTATACTGATCAAAGCCACGCAGAGGCTCCAAACCTGTATTTTATACAGGAAAATAGCTCTAAATAGGAGTAAACTAACCTCTAAATGAAGAAATAGGACTATATTGTTTATCTTCCCAAAATAGGACTAAAGTATGTCTTATCTTACTATTCTACCATTACCATAACTTAATAGAAAAATCATATTTTAATTTGTAATAGAACTTAAAAATGTTTTAATTTATAATAAATCCCAAAAGGTATATTAAAAATGAAAAATATTTTTAAAAATAAAATAAAATAATAAAATTTAGAAAATAAAAACTTTACAAATAAATAAAAAATACTCCCTCCATTCTCTAATAATTGTCTCTTATTCCTTTTTGGGATGTTAATACCCCCACTTTTATTACTCTTACCTTTTTCATTTTTACATACTAATTTCTCTTTCCTACTTATTCAATATACTTTTCTCTATATTACTTTTCTCTTCTCAATAAACTTTTTTTCCTACTTTTTCATTTACCCTACACTCTCTATATTACCCTTACTATTTTTTTCTCTTTAAAATCCTGAAAAATCTAAGAGAACGGTTAAGAGTACAGAGGGAGTAGAAAACACATTAAAAATATATAAAAAATATGGAAGCATTTCCCACGGATGCCTTGGTTACTCAGACAATGAGGGTGCCTAATGTTTGTAGCCCTTAGATAAAAAAAAAATGGATGATAGAAGATTAAGGGCCCCATTTTCACTCGAATCTTGAGGCCTGATTTTTAATCCGGACCATCCAGTTTAGTAAGGCACCCTGCCTTATAGCCTTATGTCAGAAGATCTCAATCCCTTTCTCACAGCCTCTGCCACCTCCTAACAATGCTACCTCTGATCGGCAAAAAAATGTAGAATATGAAGAATATTTTATGTAGAAAAATGTCACTTTGTTCAGAATATGAAGATACATTTTTACTCTTAGAAAATAAAAAAATAAAAAATCTCTAAAATCACGATCAAGATAACATTGCTATTAGAAAAAATGAAACACATGTTATCATTTTTTCCATTGGTGTTGTTGGGAGGTTCTTGAGACTGCAGCCTGCACTTTTTTCCATTTTTAGTTTTTTAACTTTTTAAATTTTTGAATTATATTATTGACCTTTGGTTTTTTCAAAATAAAGGGCATATAATTTGTGAAATTTTTTTGAGGAAATGATTTGTGAAATTTAAGAAGCGAAAACTGATGAATCAAAAAGTCGAATAAATGAATTGTACGTACCTGCATGTTGCACTTGACAACATCCAGAGGGGTGACGGCTGCGTGCGTGAGGCCACAGCTGAGTATGCCGCCGAAGGTGCAGGCGGCGTAAAATGCCGGCGAGAACATCTTTATCTTCGCGGAGGGCTCCTTGGGTGCCGGAATCACGAAATTCTTCCTCTCCTCCGTCGCCAGCTGAGTTGATACCTGGGCCCGCCGATCCATATCACCGAGACCCAGAGTGGACCCTGAGAAGGAAGAGTAGAGGAAGCCGGGGATCATCGAGTTGGAAGAGCGGTAATTTTCCGGTAACGCCATCGAGTTTTGTATCGGAGGAATGAAAATGAAGACATTGGAATTTCGATAGCGGCTTTTATTTACTGCGTATTGGCAATGGCAGTCTCCGAGAAACAGGGGTAGTCGAAGATGGCTGCGATTGAATGAGCGTTCCGATCTTTTTGCGTGTCTCTCGAAGGAAGGATTTTTCTCCACTCGTTATTACTACCGTTATTACTAACTCTCCATGTGATTTTTTGGTTTTGACACATTTTTTAATAAAGTTATTGAAGAGATAAAAATTGTAGTTGAGATTTGAATATAGTTAAGTGTATTGCTGTGAATCACATATTTCTTTCCAAAAAGAGAAAGATACACTTATTTTGGGACAACACAAAAAGGAAAGTAAGACGGGTAAAATGGGACGGAAGGAGTAGTTCCTCCCTCCCAAGAGTTTCGTTGACTTTTCTTGCTACGGAGGTAGTAATTATTACTACCTTCATCCCACTATGTTTGGAACAATTCGGTTTACGATGTTTGATCGACGATAAAGCAAACAGATCTCATTCCGCACTCAAATTATTTTTAGGAAAAAAAAATTACATATTCAGAAACTACATTAGAAATTTTACAAATTCGAAAAAACCTGAATCAAATTTGATAAAAAATTGATATATAAAGTAAGAGATTAAGAGTGATTTGTGTTGACCAAGTGAATAGTGTCTGGGACAATCTTAGCGGAACGGAGAGAGTAGTTTATTATTGCCCCGCCCCGCCCAATTTTTTTTGAAGAGAAAATCACTTATTTGATATCATTAAAATCAGGATCATAATCATTACATCAATAACAAAATGATTAACACTGACTACAAAATTTACCTTCCAACTACTACTACCTCCGTCCCATTTTATGTGTCTTAGTTTGACTTGGCACAATTATTAATGAAGTGGTTGAAAAAGTAAAAGTTGAGGTTGAGATTTGAGTATAATAAAGTGAAATGGTGTAGACCACATTTTTCTTTCCAAAAGAGGAAAGTAGACACTTATTTTGGGACAGCCCAAAAAGGAAAGTAGGACAGGTAAAATGGGACGGAGGGAGTACTTATAATCCTACGATTAGACCTAGAGACGACTACCCTAAAAGGAGAAATACGAATCTCTAACCACTAGCTAGACGGGCTCAATGCAGCTATTGCTGAACAAATTGATTCGTCCCCCACTAATCATATTAAATCTAACCGAAACATCAGTCATCGTAATAAACCTAGTACCATGAACTTTAATCAAAAAAACAAAACGATAAGAACAGAGTTTCTTATTAAAAAAACTAAACCTGAATAAAACGAAATTAAAAAAAGATAAAGTGATGGATCAGATGACCCATGGCAGCGGCGGGAACCCTAGTCTCACAGATTCTCCATGGCGGCGGTTCAGGAGGGGGGCGGATCATCATCACTTCATCTTTATCCTCCATCGCTCGGATCCCATTCGCAGCCCTTGACGTTGTAGCCTCCGTCATCAAAACTTCGTCTTCATTAATTTGAGAAGAAACCATCCATAACATCACTGTCCAAATTGATAGAAGAACCTTAGAAATCCTAGGGAAGAAAACACCACTCATACCAAGAACTCTCAATATCCGTTATTCTACCAAGTAAAGGTCACATAAAGATGGGTGCAGGGACATATTTTATGTCTAAGTACTTGCCAAATATAGTGGACCTAAAGTGATTCTATAGGTCGGGATGATCACCTAACCAACACTTTGTTTTTGCTTGAAACTTTCCCAATGAACTTTTTATTGTAATTTTCATGTTTCAGATGAGTGTAGTGTCAACTGTCAATCATGGGAGATATGGATGGAACCTGAACAAAATAAATCATGAATGGATGGAACCTCTATCCTGAAGTGTTTGAGATGTCTGGGAGTTTAGTTGGTCCGCTGATCGTGGTACCTCTGGGTATATGGGAATATACTCCAACAGTAATTATTAATTGCCAAACATGGTCGGGCACAGTCAAACACAGTAGAATAAGGTCAAAATGGTTCAAACTAAACATAGTAAAATAAAATAAATCAAAGCTAGAACACAGCCAAACATGGTGGAACACAGTAGAACAAGTAGAAAACGGTCAAAAAAACATGGTAGAACAAGGTTAAACACATTTAAATTCACATTAAAATATAGTAAAAACACGGTCAAACTCGTTCAAATACGATAGAACATGGTTAAACAAATTCAAAGTAAGAATAGAAACGTGTATTTAGGTTGGCTCAATGGGTAACTACCTTAATTTCTTTGTTCAGAGAAAGAGGATTCAACTTCTCAAGATCTTCTACAAGCTTATCTGGTTGAATCTATTTACTCCGCTTTGAGTCCGACTTCTTTAGAAGATTTTTTGCAGGGTTAACTTCTCCTAATTTTACCAGCTTACGCTTACGTTTAGGCTTATCTTCTTCAACCATTGGAATGGTAGGGTTCCTAAGCTTCATAATGGTTGAAGTGGCACCAAGGTTGCGGCTAAGGTAGAAGGAGGATTATGGTTGAAGGAGTGTCGTTAGAAGGAGTACTGTTCGAAGAGGACTGCCCTGCGAGGAAGAGAGAATGAAGAGAGTCGTGCGGAGTTTAGCATCTTTGAACGAAGAGTTTGAAAGGATTATTCAAACTCTAGCTTTTAACTCAAAGGACCTGATTTTAGTAAAGGTTATTTTATAATTTCACATGTTTTGATTATTTAAAAAAGAAAAAGGGTATTTTGATAATATGGGTTTGGAAAGAGGGTATTCCGAAAAAAATTCCATTGATGGCCAAATGACCGTTTATCTTCATATGCCTCGCATAACTCCACATTCGAGCGACTCCTCATCGCCATATGCCTCACCAATCGCATCGCCACCGGTCATCTGTGCAGTGTCGCCTCCTTTCAAACGATTGTGCATCGCCGCCGCCTCCGATCATCACTACATCACCGCCGCCGCTATCTGCCAATTTGCTTCAATTCGATCTGATTTGGTCACATTAACCGCCATCATCACTCCTCTTTTCCTTCTTTCTTCTTCTTGTTCACATGGTGAGGACATGACGTGTTTCAGTTGTTGATCTGGCTAGGAGGGAGGTTCTAGAGTAAGGCTGGGGGGAAGGTTGTTGAGGCGAAGTAGGTTGGGGGGTCTAGTGTGACATGGGAGGGGCGTAGATCAAGGGACATGTCAGGGGATGGGCAAGGCAGGGGGAAGGAGTTTGGGGGCAGTGAGGGTGTGGCAATGGGGTGGTCTAAGAGTGTGGTAATGATGGACTTGTGAGAGGAACAATGTCGATGGTAGCCATGGTACGGTTGGGGATTGTTAATCACTGATGGGGGACGATGTCACTATAGCCGAAGTCGACGTGTCACTGTGACTAGAGTCTGTGATGAGAGATGGTTGTGTCACTGTGGCCGGTGGCGGTGTCACTATGGCGGTGCCACTTTGATACCGTGACCGGGGATGGTGAAGATGTCACTGTGGAGGCGTCACTGAGGCCGGTGATGACGGAGATGTCACTCCAAGAGTGTCACTGTGCATTAGTCACATTTTTGTCAAAATGCAAATGTGATCACCTTTTTGGAAATCAGCCTTAATTGAGTAATATTAAGTCTAAGAATTCACCCCCAATAATTGATTGCCCCGCCCGGTCGCCTCCCATGAACAAGGATGATGCCCACCCAAATGAAGACTGAGAAGATATTAGCCGCACATATGTTATGCATAGTTGTTGGCTTTATTTTAAAATCTTTTATCAAGTGAAGTATCGATTTGAATGTTGGTCTAATGGCATATTGACATGTGTACTTGTTTAGTTTTTAATAGGTAATCCGTATGTGTGATTGTGTTGTTTAATTGTTAAGCCATACACTATTTCTAATTTTTATATCAATATAAATAATGGTGGTGGTGGTGGTGGTGGTGGTGGTGGTGGTGGTGGTGGTGGTGGTGGTGGTGATAAAACTTTTATTATTATAGGATAGGATTAGTGATTTATAATTTTATATCAATTATATTTAATTTAATTGAATAACTTACCGAAATACTACGTAGTTATACATCTATTAGAGTAAAATATTTTACATTATTGGAATGTAGAAAATGTCATTTAGTAAGTTAAAAATCTTAAATGTAAATAATATGTTATTTTAGATAGTTAAATAAAATGAATTACTATCTGGTTGAGTCGGTTGATTCCTTTCGTGAGTTTGACGCACCAAAGTTGATGAAATTGGCTAAGTTTTATCCAAATGACTTTAGTTGTGTGGAAAGCTGATTTTTTAGTATCAACTAAGTATTTATATTTACAATATGTTAGCAGATGAAAGGCTTGCTAGGTTGAAAAGTCTTGATGATCTTGCATAACCGCACGAGTGATGGTGAACACAAGGAAACATTTTTCACATCCATTGGTGTATTAGCTTTTAAAATGTGCATTAACTTTGCCAGTTGTCACAATTACCGTAGATCAGATAGATGCTTCTCCTCTATGAAATAGTGAATGACTAATTTGTATAACATATTGGACCATTGGTGATAACTTTTTGGATGATCTTCTAATTTGTTTTAGCAGAGAGACGTGATTAAAACTGTTACAAATTAGATGAAAACTTGGCACAAACAATTATGATATATTAAATCTTTTGATATTGTAATATTACAATAATACTTTGATAATTTTTGTCTAATCACATGCATTTTTTAATTACTTTGCCCCTCAATAAGTTATTATTCTGGATCCACAACTAACTGCAAGAGTATGAGAGCATCTGTATTTTGTGCTTGTTACCATTGATATACCTATCATCCCTGAATATTAACACAATCCATATCATTACTCGCTGATAAACGAATCATCAGTTTAACATACAACAACCAAAGATACTGGACTAACTCAATAAGATACTACAAGGATACAGTTGCGCTAACAAGTTGATGACCAATACAGGGAAAAAAGAAGAAAGTTTCCATCCTGGTCAACAGCATATATTTGGGAATTGGAGCAACAATAGCAGTGATTTGGTTCGTAGAAATACTCTGTCTACACATAAACCAATGAAGATGCCATCTTACTCGCACACAGGAAGGTCTCTAAGCTCATGCAGATTCCTTAGCTTTTGCAGCCTCCTCCTCCTCCTCTTGTAGTCTCCTTAGAGATGGAGGAGGTCTAGGTACA